AACAATATGCAGGTCATCGAGTCAAGTCAGCTATGATCAATGAATCTATGCAGAGTACGGAATCAAATCAAAGCGAATCATCAATACTCAATAGTCATACGGCGCAAAGAAACGTCACATCTATCAATCAATAAGTGCTCTCAGTCAATATCTTATTTATCGTAGCCCTTTTCTGTCATCAATTTACGTTCAATCAGTCGTGTCGTCTAGTCATTTATTGCATCTATTTATATATCTTATCATTGATATTCTATTTCGTCCATAGCAATCTTATATCAAATCAATCAATACTGACTCGTGTCAGAACGTACTCTTGCAACAGTCAATCCATTATGTTCAATGACACTACGACGGATTCAATAATGACGACGTACGTGCTACAGTAGGGAATCATCTCAATCAATAAAGCACTTCCAGTCATTATTCAAATCAGCTCAAGTCCCAATAAACAATCGAATCCAGTACGGCGAAAGATCATTGAAAATCATAATCAAATCAATGAAATCATCAGAGCCAATTAGAAATCAAAGAAATCAATTCTACGATAAATCAAAATCCATACGCATCAATCAATCCATCGATAAACGGCAGGACGTCAATGTACGCACGACGAATCAATGTATCAGTATATCATACCTATCAGGATATGTCGTATCATAATATTCATATATCAATATTTACTCTATATCAATGTCGATACCTAGTATCTATCATCGGAATACATCTTATTCATGTCGCTGTCGATATCTATCAATACACAGAATCCATATCAATATCGGTCGCGGTGAATCAATACAATCTATATCAATATCAGTGTCAATCTCTATGACTCAATACGCATGATCCATATCATATTAGTGCCGATATCTATGAATCAATCAAGTCGAGAAAATCAATCGGAAAGCAATACGATAAATCAATTTAAATCCGTCAAATCGATCACTCAATCTAAACAATGGAATCCGTACGATAAATCAATAGCAGCAGCAAGTCAAATCGATGCATGAAGCATCAATGGTATCAATATCTATGAATCTATGCGTCCATGATCCATATCAATATCATGATCAATAATCAATAATCAATAGTAGTATCAATGCTCGATGATCAATCAATGAAATCAATCACATTGAATCAATGAATCCGACGATAGAATCAATTCGAATCAATAAATCAATGCATAACAGGAAACCATACGATGCAATCATTCCATGGTCTTACTCGACAAGCACAAACATAGCTATGATCAACCAGGTAAACTGGCTATTATCAATAGTGCTGTTGTAGAATCCGTATTGCTGTTGTAGATATCCGCACGTTGGTTCTATCAAGAAGAGTCGTCACTCTTTTTCCCGTCGGCCGCCCGTCGGCATATAAAATCCTCTATAACTCCCAATCGTTATATCGATGATCTATGGTCTATGATTTAAAGGAAAGCCCGTCGGCCCACCATCCTGTACAGTCAAATATCTACTTCAACCAACGTTCAACCAGGTTCCCACTTATCTTTCAGGAATCAATCAGTCAATGCCAATAATCGATGCAATAATCAATAAGAAAGAAAACGAAGACGATCATATCAATAGTTATACGCATATCAATTCAATCTATCAATTTCAACCAAATCAGAAATCGTACGAAAATCGGCAGAGTAACGCAGTCGGTCAAATTTACACAAAAATCTCCAAAAATTACAATTCACCAAATTAATACAGAACGTGCACAGCAATATTCTAAGACTATTCTTCTACTGCTCAAAACACGTTCGGAACATCATAATAATTGCAGTCAAATAACTCCGCAGAACCAAACAGACGGACGAAATCCGCCAGAAAATAATCAAAAACGTGCAGAATATCACGTCTACAACATACCAAAAGTTACGCGGTGAAATCTTTGCCAGTACCAAACCGGGTACGAAAATCGCTTACAAAAACACAAATCTGAGCACCATTTCGCAAAATCTCAAAAACCTTGAAAACAGAAGTAGGGTTCGGAATCTCTCTAAGCGAGACAAACAAAAAATATCCACAGCAACGAACGACGAAAATTGCTCCGCGGACCCCGAAATCGGACTTCTTCCTTTGCTTTTCCGCCCTTTCTCTCTCCTCAAAATATCTGATTTATAAAAATGTTTCTCTCTCCTCAAACGAGCTCATTTCTCTTTATCATTAGTGGGATCGGCCGGCGCCATCGTCACATCGTCCCGGGACGATCAGACCAAATTGATCGTCCTTGATGACTCCCAGAACTTTACTCAGGACGATATTTTCTACAGTGCAGATCGGCCTGACGATCTCCAATCGGCCCGGACGATCCTGGGAAAATTCACTTTTCCCAGCAGCTACAGCACGCAAGGACGAAGGTCTCACATGCAGATAGTTCTGGGAACCGTCCAGGACGATTTTTCTGGTCTGATCGTCCCGGGACGATTGGCGATCGGCCGGGCCGATCAGACAAATGATATATGAGAATGAGATCGTTTTGAGGAGAGAGAGAAATCATTTTATAAAAAATAAGATATTTTGAGGAGAGAGAAAGAGAAAGGGAAAAGAGTAAACCTGGTTTTGGAGGCCGCGGAGCGCTTTTCGTCCGACGCCTGCTGTTGGAAAGTGAGATCTCGTGGTAAGGACTCCGAACCCTATTTCTTTTTTTCAAAGATATTGAGTTTTGACCGAGTTGTGATCTGTTTTGTGTTTCGTTGTGTCGACTTTCGACATTTATTATTGACCACAACTTTCACCGCACACTTTTGTGTTATAGATATGACTATTGTACACGATTTGACTATTTTCTACGAAGATTTACCGGTCGGAATTGATTCTACGCGATTTTAATCGAATAGAAAATATCAGGACTTGATTTGATTTGATTCTATAGGACAATAGTCTTGTATTGATGTATAGATATTCTACTGTTAATTTGAGAAATTGGAAATGTGCTTGCAGGATGTTTCTGGAAATTGATGACTGCCTTTACGCTGCCCGATTTTGTAGATTGTTCGGAATTTTGGCCCCTTTGTGATTTTTGACTAGATTATTGATTAAATTGATTGTGCTTATTATTATTGATATTTTGTTGTATAGTTTTTTACTTTTAATATTGATTATTGAAACTGATTATTGATTGATTATTGATACTGGGAAACACGTATAACCTGGTTGAACTTGGTTGGAGATTGATATTGACCAGTACAGGATGGTGGCCGACGGGCTTTCCTTTAAACCATTGATCATTTGATATAACGATGGGAGTCATAAGGAGTTTATAGAAATGCCGACGGGCGAAAAGAGTGACGACTCTTATTGATAGAACCAATGTATTGATATCTACAACAGCAATATGGATTCTACAACAGCAACATAAGCCAGTTGATTTATACTTGTCCAGTATTATAGTAATTGAATTGCATGTTACTGTATTGCTTTATGGATTCGTTGTTTTATCGATTTCTACTTTATCGACTTTGATTGGATTTTACTAGTTCGTACGATTTCATTGATTTCACTGATTGATTGCTGTGCATCGACATTGAGCATTGATATAGAAATGAATGGATAGATATTGCATTGATAGCATGGACATGAATAGTATAGAATCATTGATACTGTTGCCTATAGATTCATTGATTTCTGCTTATAGATTCATTGTTACTACTGTCTATGGATTTATTGTTCGCATATAGATTTATTGTTTCTGCACCGTATTGATTGCTGCATGGATTCACTGTTAGAATAGATTGAGATTTATCGTACTGCTTTCCTCGTTTGATTTCATTGAATAGATTGATTTGATTGGATAGCGATTGATTTGACGGATTGATTGATTTCCTATTGTTGCACGGATTTCTCTCGAGATTGACATGGTATTTATGAGTTGATTTTTTGATTTCGTTCTACCGCTGCATTGACTGGTTTTATTGACTTGAATTTCCGTATTGCATAGATTCATTGACCATTGACTGATATGATTTGATTGACTGACATGCATATTGATAGCATAGCCGTGCTTTGATTTTCAGTTATAGGTATTAGGTGACCTGCTGGGCTTTGTAAAGCTCATTATATGTGGTTTGATATTTTCAGGTCAGGGCAAGGAGCAGAAGATAGGAATTGATCCGATCTTCAGGTTTTGGTGTCTTTGCATTGATTT